TCGTATGTAACTTTATGGCCGAAATCGATCAAGTTTTACAACAAAAATAATCAAATAAGAAGGCAAATTTTAATATTTTTTTAATTGTCCTTTTCGTATCCTTATTGTGTTTAAGAATTTGACAATCCACAAGTTGTAAATTGGAAATGTGCTTCACAAGTGTGTATCAGAACTTCCTGATAAACCTGATATCAAAAACAACAATCTAATATTTTCTCTAAATCTTCGAGTGCATAACGAGACCCTATAGCAGTTTGAATTACAAGTAAGTTTAGAATTTAGTAATACTGAACAATCTTCAAAGTTATTGAAGGATTTCTCGTGAAATTTTTATCTTAACCTAAAGGAAGCTTAGCTGAGCCTAAAGTCTCTAGTTATTATTAGATTACCCCACTTCCAAATGTGGTTTCTTTTTCAATGTTTCTTTATGTACGTAAACAAATTTGTCTAGCGTTGTAATCTGAGCCGTTCTTTAAACTTTATTTGAATATAAAAGTTCGAAACATTTCAAACCTGTTTCCTTTTATTCAAAAGAAACAAATTTTGCATTCACTGTTCGAAATTTTAAAGGTTGAAAATAATAAAAGACTAATTAACATGTATACCTGAGCTTATCACTATATCATTTCATTTCGACATAATCACGTAAATCAATTTTAAAAATGGAAAATTAAAAATACATCTGGCTTAAAAAGGTCTTCATTTTAAACATCCAAACGCCAACGAGTGATTTAAAGTCTTTCAAAGTCACTCAGACAGAAAAATTCACACTACAGATACTTGTGTACACAGGTAGTGGGATATACAGATGTTTTACACAATCTCAGCGACTTTGGGAAAAAATTATGTGGAATTCAATGCTAGTTCGTGGATGCTTGTTCCACAGATTATTTATAACATACTTCTCGGACTGATCAGGATCTCGTAGATCCGGAATAATATCTCAAAGAAGATGCAGATGTCTGTAAGTTACAACCATGTACAAACGTGGCATATATATCACGTCATACTTACAATTAATTATGTGATGATAAATCTTATACAGATTTAAGTAAATCTTTGCCAAGTAAGGATCATTTGAAAAATTATAACTTAGTTGTCTCTCTATATACATGTACCGAGGAACATGCATACAATTAAAATGTACAGTATACTCGTATAATGAAAGCTATTGTTCAATACTCCCTCTGAATATTGCATTTATTTACAGTAGTGATGAAGAGTTGATATTTTTTTTTACCTTTAACTCAGTAACACAAATAGGGTTACATCTAGAGCGTACATCAAATTGCTTTATAAAAGATCGTTTTATTTCCACACAAAAATCAGCTAATTTTATTCATACAGATGATGTACCGGCATATATATAATAGAAAATATTTACATGTGCTATGATATTCTCTCTCTGTCTCCCTCTCTCAAATGAGACCTGGTCCGCAACTTTGCGATTATTTCGATAGCGAAAAACTCTTGTACATTACATATAAGAATATTTTTACTTCTTTTTGAAAGAACGATAATTGAAAACTTCAATTTATAATTTTTTTGGTTTTAAGACCAAAGCGGAAAATAAGTTCATATAAAAATGAAGTGCATAATAGAATTTGACAATTCTGGGCATTTCTATATTAAAGTAATGTGTGAACGTGTGAACACAAGCAGAACACTGTCCACTAGTACAGAAAAATATTCGGGTTTCAATGGAATTAACCCATTTTCAATACAAAGCGTGGCCGTCCATAAAGCTATTTGTTGGAACGGCCTCATTTGTATTCAATAAATACTTAGTATATCAATTAAATATTTGTTTATCACTTTGCCCGTGTACTTCACAATATCACAGGCACCAGTCGTAACTAATGAGAATTTTTCTTGAGAAAGTCATGTTAGCTCAAATAAGACATAGGCGCAAGAGAGATATCTTGATCAAAAAAGTATGTAGTCTGTAAATTTTTTACATTTCGACTTTATTCCTTTATCACTTAGAAAATCCAAACTGCCACCAAACTGCTTGTCTTCAATTCATTTGGTACGACGTGAAAAGGGAGGTAATTAGGTCTAAACTTGTGCAAATCTTACAGAAAATAGGGTGAGGTAACAAAAAGGGGGGGGGGTCAAAATTATGAACAGGAATATTTCAAGAAAATATTATTTTTCCTTCTCGAGAAGAGCAAGGGGGGGGGGGGGGCTAGGATAGGTCAGCAAATTAGGGGACAGTCTTATATATAAGTGGGACTAGAAAAGGGTCAGAATTTGAAGTTATAAAAGATAACTTTATAGGAAGACAGACTATTATATCGTCTCCAGAAGAACCAGATCACATTTATCTGATTAAGATCATAGCTTAATTTCTATTTAAGGTGGGATTCTTCTCATATTTCTAGAATTTAAAAATCATTTAATTTCTATAAAATAATTGATTCTGATTGGATAAAAAATTCTTTTGATAACTGCATCAATAGAATCTGGAGTTCACTTGCACTTGACAGCCGGAACTACTATGGCTAACTTGACATGTATATTTCAGCTTCCATATTACTTTGTGAAAGAAAAATGAAATAATTTTACTCTATTTTCCTGAATTTCAAAATTTGTCCGTTACGTTCCTGAGTTATTTTCTACTTTCGTTTCTTTTCGAATTATCCCCCTTTGCTAAACAAATCAGATCGTCTGCAAATGACAACAATGCAGTTGCGGGAAAAAAGGAAAGAAATCATCATACATACGTTAAATGTTTGTCTTTGAGATAACTGGTATGAACAATAGAACTGTGAAGAAATGTTTTTATGCTTCCAAAGCGGGGAAATGCCGTTAATCTGATAATTCTTAGGAAACGAATGCATGAGAAAAACGACGCTGAGCGAGGACGGGTATTCTTTCAAAGTTAAACAGTCGGCAACAGACTCTTCCAGATTTTGAAGCATGTTGTATTATGCATGGACATGTTGTGATACGTATATATATGTTCGATTTGAAATTCAGATGAAGAGATGCGCATATGAAACCGAAAATTTCTGTGAACTAGAAAGAGTTCTTAAGGTTATATTTGAGTAGCTTCCCTTTACATTTACGAATCTAAAGATATCAGCTTACAGGAGGAACATAGCAAAAATTAATAACACAACAGGTAAGTTTTTGTGTTAAAACTGTTTTTGTTAGAAAAACTTAGTAATGACACGACAATATTTGAACATGTTGTTTGTTCGTAATACTCTGCGTCTGAAAATTTAGGCAACTAAGCTAGGCCTATATGTTGGACAGTCATTCGATCGTTCTAAAGTTAAATCTCATCATTGAAAGATAAATATCAAATGATAGGAAATAAATCTTATAATTTTTTCTTTCGTCGATATATCATAGAAAGCTTGGACGTAAAATTTCATCAATCCAATGCGCGTAGATCTGTACATTCAGCCATTTTGAATTTCAGCAACGTTGTTGTAATGTATTCCTACGCACAGTCTTCGATGCTTAAATTAAATATTAAAGTGAAAGAAAGTTTCATTTTATTATTTTTAAACCATAATTAAATGATAAGAAATGAAAGTAATATCTTTTTCTTTGACCGAAGTATCAAACAAAAATTTTGACGGAAAACGTTTTCATCAATGCGCTACGCGCATTGATGACGTTTTCCCTCCAAATTTTTGTTTGATATTTCGGTCAAAGAAAAAAATATTACATTCATTTCTTAAATCAACGAAATTTTCACAGAATCAAGAAAACAATATCACTAGGTGATGGTATCAGTTAGATTAAATTTGACCGTTTTATATTAGAGGCAAGGTCAAGTCAAGGTTATTACCTTTTCCCTGGGCATTAAGAATAAAAAATTACTGTTGCCAATCATGCGATGCCTACTTCTATTTCAAAAGATTAAATGTTTTTCTTTTTGCATAAAGAGATATTACCATATAGGGTCTATAAGATGATATAACCAAATTGACATAAATAATTTAACTAATACGGATATTGGCTAATCCGAATTTTCTCTATTTTTCTTAAATTTTTAGGATATTTTAGTTATTTTTATATGCTTCCTATATTTAATTTTTTCTTATTTTCACATATGGTAAAATTGACACAAAAAGATACAAAATGATATAAAAACAAAACGTTTTGATCGCTAACTAAGAGAGAAAAAACACTTTTTACGGATTTTTGGCTCAAATATGTACTTAGATTGGAAGCTTTTAAAAGCTAACATAATTGTAGTTTGTTTAGAAAACCATATTTATTTGATATATTTTTAACAAACTTTAGTCCCTTATCATTAATTAAACTTACATTTAAAAATTTCTTCAAGTCTTTGATTGTGTAAATATTATAACTAAATTCATTGTTCTATAATAATTTTGAGAGGCAGAAAATAAGATATTTTCATATGCCGCCATTCCGCCAAAAATATAGTCCTTGCTAGATTTCAAACTCAGTAAACCATTTCTATTTAAAGTTGTACAATTGTGATGAGGGAAGGAAAATATGATCTTTTAAATCTCTTACATCTAAATATATAAAACATATAAGCAAATATACTTTGAATATTTCATCTAGTCAGAAACCCGACAAGAATCCCTCCTTAAGGTAAATTCAAAATCCAAACTATGGAGACAACGGTGTTTGCACAGTGGGATGTCAATTTGCATACTGTCAAAGAAATCAAAACCATTTAGCATTTGTGACTAGTAACCTTTTGTTTCATATGTTAAATATTTCAACTTACAGAATGAGATTATTGCCCCCCCCCCCCTCCAGCTTGTAATCCTGTCTTCTCTCCTGAAAAATAACTTTTGTACAATATACTGGGCCCTTTGGAATATCGAGTATTTATTAATATAATGCTTCTTCACAAAGATTGGACTTTCTGAATTCTATCAGCAAACCTCCGACCGCTGAATCATCGTCATTGTACACAGTACTGTAAAAGTCGCGTCACATTCAAGTACACTCTTGTCGTATATTTTTGTTTCTGTGCCAGACAAACTCTAAGTTAACCCTCTCCATGCCTCCTTTCTCTCTTGCTCGTCAACATTTGTCTCGTAATTGTGCTTTAGGCATCACAGACGATATAAAACATGGCTACCAATTTTCGCACCGAATGTTAAAGTCCTCAAAATGTTTGAATATATAGGCCATTGTCATAATTTGTGACACCTAAATGGAAATTTTATTATGGTGTTTTTTATTCAGATAATGGATTTTAATTTGATTGCTACTTCTGCACCGTTTCCTTGCAGCAAGGTAGGCAATTGGTTTTATTTTCTTAAAAAATACACGTTTTTGCGAGTTTCTTTTTTACTGCTTTTTTGGTCATTTTCTCGTATCTTCATCACAAAGGCACATCTAAGTAGGGTAACTCTCATCACTGGCACTCGCGGTACTACATCAAAAGATAACGATCAAAAGAGTAAAGACAAGAGCCTTACATAACGTCTGTTCCTAAAACAATACATCCGTGACGTATGAATGTGAAGTGTCTAAACGCTTGTTTGTTTGGCCCCATATTTTATTTTTTTTTATGTTGCTGAAACAAGTATAAGCATAACGCCTTTGGGTTAATGAAGGGTCTCCTCTGCGCTTTCTACCATTCGCAAGGCGAAGGACTGGGTAAGTGTTTGGTCGGAGTGAGTTATTAATTAGACACAGTAATATAGTTGTTTTTATTAATTAGCAAAGAATTTTGATGTACTTGATGTTGCTTTTCCTGGGTTTTTGATGAACCACGTGATTTTCCATTTATTTGTTTGATGTACAAAATACAGAGGGAAATCAGAATGAAATAATGTATATTGATAAGGGAACTGTTATCTAAAATTCATTTTCTTGCAAGTTATCCTTGCTTTGAACTAATTCTTATTCATCTTCATTATTCTTTCTAAACTCAAATTTGTTATTTTCCCCGAAAAACAAGTCTAAAACAAAGGCCTTAACAATAAAATGTAAAAACTTCCGTGCAACTAAACAGCAAATCTACTGTTTCTGTAAAAATTCCTTCATACGCGATATGCAGAGTTCATATATTACTTTACAGTGCTCATTATAGTATTATGCACTTAGGCAATTATGCTTTCTACATAAAAAGGGTGCATAAAACTAGAGTGGCTTACTTTAGCCTCAAATACACCCTTCTCACCTTGATATTTTAATAAAACCTTTGATATCGCTTTGAAGCAAAAGTAAATGTTTATAGAACATTTAAACGTTTCTCACACATTTGTACAGTTGTATTTTTGTTTAAGCTCATTCAGGAAATGTATTTCAATTATGTTTGACCTGATATTAACTTTCACCCAGACATTTTTTATCCAGCATGTCAGTGCTTAATGTTAACTATGTCAAGATGAAAATTATTAGGTTATATGCTCATGATTAATTAATTTAAAAAAAAAAAAGCTGATACACATTACTTAGGAGTGCATTTAAATTATTTATTTTATTCAGCTTAAATTAATACACCCAGCTGTTTTGCCCTAGGGATACGAAATATTATTTAGAAATCACACCTTACGTAAATTTATGGTAATCATTGTACCTTTAGCACAGAGGAAATTGTACATATTTGTAAAATGAAATGTAATTGAAACAAACAACCTGCATTGAGAATAGGTGTGAATTTACTATATATTGTACGAATAGCACTAGTCTATGCAAGTGATTTTTTCTGTCAACTTAATCGATGAATTGTGGAATTGATCAAAGAAATTTAACTTTTTTTTATTTGAACATATTTTATTATGTATTGAAACATAAATGGATTGGGCAGCAGGCATAGCCTATATAAGCCCTCTCCATAATATTTATATATCATGTATATTATTTATATATATCCATAATTTAACTTTAAAAATAAATTATCGAAATATGTTAAGATTTTTAAAATGTTTATAGTTGATTAAGAAACAGAGCTAAACTTTTTTGATGGAAATTAATGGACGAAGACGCGATGAAAGTCTGTCACCCTAAGTATTTTTTTTTCGGCATCTTTTCATTAATCGCGCTGAGGAACACTTCGTAAGGTCAATCGGAGATACGTTTTGGTTCCAGATATGCCAGAACACTTTCTTTTTATGATGCACGATTGCTGAGAAACAATAATGTGCATACGCTTTACGTGCAGATGTAGATAAATTACTTGAATGTTTGACAGTTTGTCGTTGTCTTATGGGCTCCAAGAGTATGCAAAGATGTCAAAACCCTGCTGTGAGGTTTCATCATGATCGTAAATAATTTGTCTAATGCCACTTGCTTTATCCATTCAGTTCATGCATGTGTTCCAAGTATCTTTATTATATTTTGGTGCTGAAAATCATCAGTTGAAAGAAACTTATTCTCTTTGACTGGCAAATGGATAAACAAACAACGACGTTTTACCATGTATTAGTTTCCTATAGTAACAACATGATCGCACTTTTTTATGTTGTACTTACATTCCCAAGTAAATGAAATTACAGAATCTATAAATATTGATAATATTGCTTGTTCAGATGCATAAAGTTAGAGTACATCCTTTATACCATGAAGTAAGTCCTTAGTAACGTTACGAACTGATGAACACCTTCATTGAATCACGCAATGCAACAGGTATAACATTTTTATCATCTTAACAGACCAAAACCATTTCAAAAAATAATTTTGGAAATTTTACAAGAGGTTTATTGTTTGCATTTAAATATAGATTTTAATCCTTTTTCTCCTTTCCGTTTTTTTTTCTTTTCTTAAGTGATCACGAAACATTTACTTTTACTGAAAGAGTACAACTTGGATCCAATCCGAACAAAACACAAGCTGATTAACTAATTGCTGTTCCGACAAAACAGTCTCGACCAATTGTTAGATAATGTATGGTATCCCCTAAAACAATATCAAATATATCATATTTGATATTATATAAGCCAGTTACTAGGAGAGTATTAAAACTGTATTTCAATAATTAATTATACACTTCTCATTTTCGCACAATTTTCAACATTTTCCCTTAAGTCCAGCTTCTTAATTTAATACCTACTTGAACCAATGAAGTGCACGTTAGAGCATAATCAATTTAAAGTTCATATTAATAATAGCAAGAATTAAAAATACTTAATACATTTTTTGAATTAACAAAGGAAAGGTGAAATTCACGAACGAAAATATACTTATATCTCTCAGAACTTTGCTAGGAATGGAAGAATTACATGTAAGTACTCGTAATTATAATTAAAAACATTTATTTTTTTCCGAATTAAATGGTTATATATTAATTTTGTATATAAAATAATTAACTGCCCCGATAATTCAAGCTTAAATTCTCGTACGGCTCAATAGTTATACATACGGGAACATATAGAAAAAATTTATAAAACAAAAAATTTGAACAATAATGAAGTATTATAAGAGTGAATATATACACAACTTTGGTGTAGTTGTAATTTGCACTTATTTTACCAATTGAAAACAGATGTATATAAGGAATCCAAAAACATGCAATGTGTCAGAAAAAAGACCAGCCTTCGCGCGAGTTTCTCTGTAACACATATACGTTTTTATCATAAAACACAGGGAAACATGCGGTTTTTATTATCGTGACATATAATGCAGCACAATAATTAGTTAAATATGATTTTAAAAAAAACAACAACGATATTTAATAAGTTGAGGGAAGTGGGGAACGTTGCGATACAAAGTAATAATGATAATAAAAAGAATACCTAAAACAGTCCTCTAGACGAAAACTACTTTTTTTATTTGTACATAATTTTTTTCACAGAATCAACATTATTTTGGCACATGACTTCACAAAACTTCATAGTATTTGGGTTAGAACACAATTTTTGGTTCAAAAAATCTTTCCTCAATTGATTTAAAGCACTACATTCTAAAATATAGTGATATTCATCTCCTATCTGATTACTATCGCACAAGTCTACAAAATCTTTCATTTCTTTTGAGAACCATTCCATCTACCTGTTTCAATTGGAAGGTGGTGGTTTGTGGTTCTAAATTTAACTAAAGTTTTGTTGTTTTTTTTTTTTCTAAATTTACATGATAATAGTGTTAAATATTTTTCGCACTCAAAATTGGTTTTAAAAATTCTTTAATTTAAACTTTTTGAAGATTCTTGAACTTCACTATTCCACTCTTGAATGCATTGATCTTTTAATCTTTGTTTAACTGTAGCAGCTATCCATTTTACATGAAAGAAATATTGCTCGTACCATATATTTGATAAACCACATCTGTCAAAAATATTTTTTTCAAATGAAATCCAGGAGTTTGTCATTTCTCCTTTATCATATTGTTTACGTAATTACATACATACAATTCTACACAATTTGTTTTCTTTTCCATACACAAGTTTTGTCCAATATTTTATCATTCTTGAGTATATATTTATGTATAATGGGAACCGTCCAGTACACAATACAGGCAAATGATAAAGATACTATATTTTGGAAACATATAAGATTTTAAGAAATTCGTGACCGAATAAAATTGAAATTAAATAACCAAAAATGAGACATCATTAATGGCATTTAACAAATTAGTGTTTCTCTTTGTTTAGTACCTTTCAATATACATGTATATTGATAAAGCTTCTTATTTTTTTGGGAGGGGGGGGGGTTGGTTCAGGTTGATTTTCTTAGATTCAAAATTCAGTTGTTGATATATACTACGAAGCTTTGTCTCGTTGTCAACATCAGTATTTTTTCTGGTCAGTATAAAATCATATTGCCCTCAAAAGTCCATAATGTAAAAGTACATATTGACTTAAATGTTCGCTATTTTTTTTTCTGAAAGATATGCCTGGGTAATAATTATGAAAGAAACAACAAAGAAACGAACATCAGCATTTTGCGACAATTGGTCATCATCTATCAATTAGGAACAATAAAATATATCGCCCGGTAATTATTTATCTTCCCACGAACCTATATACCTGTCTTCAGCCATTAACTTCAGTTTCTGTTTACTGTTGTGGTGCTTTACCAACATACATGCATGTTCCTTCACCTGTAACATGCCAGGCGAATTTTTTGTTTTATCCACCTTCTCTAGATCCCCGCCCTATACTTTTGAACAAATGCTATATATTTACCCCCAAAAGATAGTAAGTTTAAATACATTTTTTTGAGTTCCCCCACTTTTAATTATCATTTATCATACAAATATGTTTAAATGCATAAAGAAAATGTACTTTAAAAAAATATTTTATTGGGTTTATAATGTATAGTATATATTAACTCCAAATGATCTAATTTGAGTGCTCCTTCATTAATCATTTATTCTTTTGCAAAATTGCCCGATCTCCCATATTGAAACTTCTGTTACCTTCTGGGACTTTAAACAACCGATAGCAATGATTACAACACGAAAGTGTAAAATTAAATTAGCGGTGATAATAAAAGTCAGTAATATATATTATCAGGAGGAAAACAGGTATAACAATGAGGACTTATTGGGCCAAGAAAGTCGAAGCAAACATATTTCAGGCTATTGTGGGTAGAGGGGTCAGCATTCGCGTTCAACACTGGCCAGAGAAACCAAAACACTAATTTTCTTGGCCTGATGTTTTCCCTCGCGTCAATACCGTACAACTTGGAGGTTGTAGAAACAATGTAGACACCCATCGACCAGTTAGATGGTTTAAGTCATTATACACCTGAAAACGTTGATTTTCGTCTACCTATAACGAAGAAGTTCTTTAAAGATTGACAGTTTTAATTATGTGCTAATTTAAATCCAATCTGCATTGCTTAAGACATTGGATTTTCATAATTTGCTTAAAATAATATACATGTGTCTTGGACGAACGTTCTTCAGCAATGAAATGGAAGTGAAAGCGCGCAACAGTTTCTTTTTCTTCACGTCGCTTCTTCTGTTGAAATAAGGATTTCTAATACTTATCATTCCTAAGCTTGCATTGATATTCAAAATGTGAACATATATTGGTAGATTTAGTGTACAGTAAAAAGTTCTAGATCATGAATTACTGTATTTCTGCCTTTCCTACTCAGACTCGGCGAACGTCCATACCACTCTCCAGGGATTCGACGAAACGGAGAAAGCAATGTGTCAACCATGGACGGTATAAATCTACCCGGCTCATGACACCGCACTCAGATGAAAGTGAAGAAGAAACCAATAATTGCGTCAACTGTGATGCGCAAAGGTCTACAAATAACAAACACAGCCGTCAGGTAGAAAACACAAACAGAAAGAGTTCAGATGGCAATATGGCGTTCCCTGCCCTCTCTGTGATGGGTGGCGGGGGACAGGTTGTCAGATCCCGAAGTAAAGTCAGCATCAATGAACCCGATGACGAACAACGAAGCCCGTACCGAAACAGCATCAACTTAAAAAACAAGGAAACGGTCATTCTCAATGTTGGTGGACAAATTTTCGAAACATATAAACAAACACTTAGCAGATTAAAATCATGTAAGCTGGCCAGTGAATCAGAACTTCGAAGATATTATCGTGAAAGCAAGGACGACTACTTTTTCGACAGGGATCCGCAGTTATTCAGTGTTGTGTTGAATTATTTACGGACAAATGAACTTCATCTGCCAACGTATCTTTGTGGCCCAGCAGTCCAGAGGGAATTTGACTACTGGGGGATCGAGGAAGAGGACATAGAACGATGCTGTTGGCAGCCCTACAACACGTGGAAAACTCAAAACAAGTCTTTGGAGAAGTTGGAGTACGATCGAAAAAGATCCATGACTCAGCAGCATTTAGAGAAAGACAGGAACAGCCCACATTTCTGGACCCGATGTAAAGCTGTAGTGTGGAACTTCCTTCAAAACCCAAATACCTCACTAGGTGCTAAGGTAAGTCACTTGGTTAATTTCTTTCATTTGTACATTAAGGCAATATACAGGGTGTTTTTGCATAACTGTTGTACTGGAGAAACGCATGAAAAACTACCCCAGTCCCCCACGCTTTCCAACCTATACTATCTTCTGTTAGTGTAGCAGCGCTGGTAATTATGGTACTTTAGAACTACTCTATATGTGGTTGGGAGAGTAGAAGCAAAGAAGCTTAATTTACTGTTCTATAGAAGAGTCAGTCCCTTTTCAATTTTTTTGGCTGCTTTTTTTGTGGCAAAATATTTGATTATTGCGTCCTTGATATAAGTAATGAAGAGTATTTTGGATTAAACAATATATTTGCCTTGTGTTGTCAAATGATATACTCTAGTCTAATAGTCAGTAAACATTGATTAAGTATCTAATAGTGTATACATCTAGTAATTTAGTGCATTTAAGTCAGCTACACTCTGTGAAATCGTTAACATTCTTCACTAAAATTCTGTTGATTTTCAAGCGATTGATTGCTTGACCAGTTATTATTTGTATGCATTTACATACAACTCAATGGAAAAACAAAAGCAAACAAAAAGAAAACAAAAATAACTAGCAGCTATAGGTGTCATTCCAATTACTTCATTGGTCAATATGCAGAGAATATTGTCACTTTTTTTTCCGTTCATAGTAACATCTTCGCAAGTGATGGTCCTAATCTGCGTTGCATCATCAAATAACTAGACCTCTAGAAAATAACGATACTATGGTGTGTGGTCCATTGTTATATTTTTATACAGTTTTGACATTAAAAGCAGATGGCTTTCTTTGATTAATCCACCCTTTGTTTCCAGACTCGAAAAAACAAAAGAAAATTAAGAAAAACAAAAACAAAAACCGTAAATGGCAATATATATGGAGTGAAAAAATCTTATTTAATGTTTTAAAAATCATTTTAAATTTTAAAATCATTGTAACAAGTGTAAAAATTGCTTCAAATTCAATATCTTTTTGAAAATGCTGTTACTTTTGTAGATACAATGTAAATTTAGAGTACAGTGTACATGCATTGAATTTATTGGTTGATGTGACTGTACTGTATACTTTTAGGGATATAGTATTCTGCTCACTGCTGTACATATATATATATATATATATATATATATATATATATATATATATATATATATATATATATATATATATATATATAGGAAATGAATACGTTTAAAGCCAATGATAAACAAGAAAAATTAACCAAAATCAATCCATGAAGCATTTATATATGTATGTATATGTATAAATAAAAGATATCTCCGAAAACATGACTGACGTGTCCATCAAAAAATAACATTTATCAGGTGATAATGGCCACAAACTCAAGGTTTACATAAATATATTGTTATTACATTGATTTTTCCTGTGAAGTGAGAAAAAATATACCTTAATTTTCCTGAGATGTACACACTAATTAGCAGTGCACGTTATATAAATAGATGTTTGGCTCTCAAGCATCGCTGGAACTGCTGATATCTTTGTTAGAGTCTTTGTATCGATAAGCTAAATGTAAATCAAAGGACTAATTATAGACTGTTCAGCTTTGTTTCGTAGTATATCATCGCTATTTTGTAAGGTAGGACAAAACAGGGGAATTAGCACTTTTGAAAATAACCTGAATATCATATACCGGTATATGGGGTTGAGGAGATAGGTTTTTTTGTTTTTGTCTGTTTTTTTTCTTTTTCTTTTGCTTTTTTTTTTTTTTGTGTTTTTTGATGCGAAAGCGCGAAAATAGCAATAAACGAAACAGAATCATACAGTACAAGTTTAAAACATGTCACTGGTTCTGAAACTTGATGGAACTTGATTAATGACTTATAGCAAAGATAGAGATTCAAGGTCGCATGTTATTAAGTTATGCGGGATTTGAACAAAGTAAATGCACCAAAATATCCCTGACATATTATCATTTGGACATAATAAGGTTATAGTCACTGTGGTTTTATCTACTAAATTTCAAAACACACTTATTATCAAACAGAGTTAAATGTAAAGGAAAAATTATTCTATTATTAAATACATGTATAAATGCTGAAAACCTAGTAATAAATATGTATTACATTACATGTTCACATGCATGCATATAGAGGTGAGGACATTGATTTTTTATTAATGCGAAAGCGCAAAATTAGCATGAACAAAACCGAGACTGCGAATACACTACATACTGTATCTATTTATGATAATTATGTTAAAATTTGATTGAAACGTGATAAATTAATAAAGATGGTTGGCTGAAATAGATTCAAGGTCGGACGAAGTATTGCTGATATTAAAAAAAAAACATCTAGGTCATGTGTGATTTGAACTTATAGTAAATGGACCAAAATATTCATAATGCAGCACTGCACAAAATGATTTGATGAATAAAATCACAGTTGGTCAAACTGATATCAAAACACCTGAAACAAATACATGTATAATAAAATAGAGTTAAATGTATTTCACTGTAATATGAAAACACGAAAATAATTCGAATATTATCTGCATGTGTAATTGCTGAAAACTTAGTTATATGTATTATTAATTACATTATTATTAATATTACAATGTATTTTTACAGGTTCAAAACCTTTTATACTTATTGTAAGCCTGCAAATATCATATTTTTGTGGATTTTTAAATATAAAATTGTTTGGTTCATATATAACACCCCCCCCCCCCCAAAAAAAACAAAAACAAGATAACATTCTAGCTGTCCTGTTTTAATTTTCGTAATGACCCCTACGGAGTCAGAACATGACATGATCAAGATTATCCCCAACATCCGTCTACCCCCTAAATGTTATTAGGGCCACGTGTAGGATGTATACAGAAATAAGTCATGATATACGATATAGCAGTGGTATGTCTTGTATCCTCAGTAATGCCGGAAATTTTAAAGAATTCTCAATCAAAGATCTTATTCTCAATGAAGGTATTTAATAAATTAGGACAGTTTTCGAAAAGGGCAACCCAGAAGATTAGTAATGAAATGTGCTGAAGTTGCAATAAACTAGAATATACATGTATATGTATAGTATTAGGTCAGAACTATACACATTTTAAGTAATTAACACCTATAGCCGATAAACTAGGAAATGCGGCTTCTCATATATTTTCACCTCCAACAATAGGAATACAGTGCATACGAAAATGGGGAGGGGTAAACCGTATTATTTACTAAATGCATTGATTAAAAACATCTTCGCCGGCCAAGAGTGACGATCCGCTCCTCTCCTCTGTGAAAAGAGGAGAGGAGCGGATCGTCACCCTTGGCTAGCGAATATGTGATAAAAAGGGATCATCAATGATTGAAACTATTTCATGTACATGTATATTAATATGGCGAAATATCCCTCCAATTTGATAATTAAATGACACTTGAGATTCACAATTTATCTATTGCAATAAAGATGTGGTAAAATCGGCATGAAAAAAGTGCATTTTAAGATTAAATTTTATATTAAATTTATATCTTTTATAGTATCTAATGTATTTCTGAGATTCTGAATTTGGATCCCATCTATTTGAAATGTAGTAGCTTTGTTGCTTCTACGAGGGGGGTGGGGGGGGGGGTGTAGGGGAGAACTTGAATATACACTACATGGAAATACATGCATATTAGTACTATTAACTTAAGCCCTTCTGTTCTTGAGAATATTTTATCCATGGATTTGAATAGACTTGATTGTACACTAAATGGGGAGACTTCCAACTGGTTCTCCTATATTTGAAAAGAGTTTTAGAATGTTTTTTTTTCCTTAGTTTAAATTCTCATGTTAAACTTTTATTCATTATTGTGGCCCGAGTATGATTTGAACAAACTAAAATGTACACGATAGGTTGATTCTAAGATACATCTATCAATATAACTAATTAAACCTCTAGCTTAGATTAGCAAAAATTAAAAATTAATTTACTAAGCTTCGATAGAATTGAAATTGACGCCAGATAAGAATGTATATTGAAATGAAATATTATATTTGCGATAATTATAAGTGACAAACATAATAAAAGAACTGAAGGTGGGGAAGGGGGTCTAATGAGATTAAGTAAACGTAGAACTAAAAAAAAAAAATAAGAAAAAAAAACAAACAAACAAACAAACAAGAAAAAAAAAAGATCGAAAAATTTCCCGAAAAAAATAAGACAATCAGATTAGATCTTCGCGTAGGAAGTAAATAGGCCTTATAATTTAACTTCCATTGTTAAATTGGAAAAAAAAGACGCACCCGATAATATAAAAATAGGACATGTTTTTAAAGTATGTAGAGATCAAATATCAGTTATATTGAATAATCACGAACTGTTACTACATCGAAGACGACAAGTACCTTGTCATAAATACTGAGAAGAATTGATTTCCTGAAACAAGAGACCGTGAGAAAAGGGTTTTTTTCCCCACACAGAAATTTTAAGCCTTTTTGCGATTTTTAATCATTTGATTTGAATGTATATTTCTAAGTTCACTGTACATGTTTTCGTTTAAACAAAACAAAAACAAACAAACGAACAAACAAACAAAAAAATATGAATTTATAAAAAGAAAATGTATTTCTTTTAGTTACACTTTTTTTTTTTTTTTTTTTTTTTTTTTTTTGTTGTAAATTTTTGAAATGTTCCCCAGATAACTTAAGTTATCTAGTCATGACTTATATCAATCACTTTAACGTTCAGCTATAAAGATTCAAAAGGATTTTTGACGTTCCATTATGAATTTGTCGTAATCGTTCAGTAATCTTTTTAATTATTTTTCACAATGTATTATTTTTGAGTCAGACCTTAACTTGTCTATATATGTTGCAATCTGGATCTACGAATTCAAGTTGCAAACTTTTCGCCATTGTTGGTGATGATCTAATTTCTACCCAAAACCTACTTCAATACTTGTCTCAATACAGTATTTTATTTTGATCTGAACACTTTCTTGATATTTACTACAAGGTGTACTAGAAATTTCGGCCCTTACATTATTCACCCTCCAGATCTCAATTGATTCACTTTACAAACACCAGCTGCTAGGTGTACGTTAAATACTGTTTTTCCTTTTCATTCATAATTGACGTATGTATGTATATATATACAGTTGATTAATAACAGCCTTAGTTTTTATTTCGCAAACAGACTGTCCTTTTAGCTTTAATAAATTCGTTGCTATGAGACAACGTTTCTAAGATAAGATTAAACATCGGCAATTTTGATCAAACAAGATCTCGTTTCCTATAATACCCACAAAACATCGAGCAATATGAAATCAGTGCACCACACCCTATTCAATCTGCGGAGTCATAATATCGGATTATATGATTATTTCTATAGACAAAAATAGTTTGCCTACAAAGAGAAGAAGATCATATATCATATTCATAGTCTGTGAAAAAAGTCAATCACTGACTATCATGGTACTAAAATACATATTTATTGTTTTTTTCTATATATATAATTCAAAAGTACTTAAAAGATGATGTCACACAGCAAAAATAATCATAAAAGAAAAAAGAAAATGCACAGTTTTCAAATTTCATTCAAAATTTCTGGATTTCATAATCCGTCTTCAGGTGTACAGAATTTGAACTTTTGAGTTCAAATTATGTACTCCTGAAGACGGATTATGAAATCCAGAAAGCGCTTGTGTTGAATGAAATTTGGAAACTGTGCATTTTCTTTTATGATTTTATATATATATATATATATATATATATATATATATATATATATATATATATATATATATATATATATATATATATATATAGTATTGAGATTATCAAAAACATCTGTCTGACGTTTTGCAAAGATTATATAGTTTTTTGGTGCCAAAAACTGGTACATGTGTGTTTTTCTAGCGCATTCTGAATAGCATCCTGCAATTATTAGAATTTGTATAAATGATTTAAAATCATTTATTATCTTTTCAGATATATGCGTGGATTTCCATCATTTTTGTCTTCCTTTCTATTTTCTCATTCTGCGCGGAAACGCATCCATTATTTCGGATTTCAAAACATACAGATTTCCTCAAGGACTATGAAACTCTATACGATCTCTTCACATTTTCCAACATTCACGAAGCCCGAAACCACACGGTCATCCAATCGAACACAACCACCGCCGATCCCGTGGTTCCGAAAAATGACACAGTAGTTCATCCGGCGCTCATTATCATGGACCTTGTTTGTGTGTCGTTTTTTACGGTGGAATTTTTAACCCGATTCATTTTTTGTCCCCGGAAGTGCCAATTTATTACCGCCTTACAAAACATAATCGATTTCGTTGCTATACTTCCAGATTATATCGAATTTTTCTTAAAGCTTTCCAATCCACAAGGAAATGACTGGCCTTTCATGGACTTCATTTTTATTTTACGCATGTTAAGGTTATGTCGTATATTTAGACTCATCCGCCATGTTCCTGGACTATGGATATTACTTTATACTCTAAAGGCTAGTTTTAATGAACTCCTCCTTATGTTTGTCTTTCTCCTGATTGGGATGGTCATCTTTGCCTCCTTGATACATTTTGCGGAACCGGACAGTGGCTACGACAACATTCCAATAGGTTTCTGGTGGAGTGTCATTACTATGACAACTGTGGGTTACGGTGATATGAACCCTGCAACAGCTCCTGGCTACGTCATCGGAAGTCTCTGCGCAATATCCGGTTTATTGATGATCGCTTTCACTGTCCCAATTATTGTTAGTAACTTTGTTCTGTACTACACTCATGTCCAGTACGGTTGTATTCGCCATGGACGAGATAAATCTAAGTTACTGGACATCACGAGCGATGAGGAGGAAGAAGATGAAAAAGACGAAAGTTTGAAGGACATTTGCTGTCAGGTGGATGAGGTGAAGCAGACGAAAGAGGATGAAAAGGAAGATAAACAGTCTGAATTAACTGAGAATGGTCATTCTCGAGGAACAGATGGCAACTGCAATAACCTTGGATGAAATGTATAAATACCATGATTATGATTTAGTTTGATCAACTTACCTTTTCAATTGTCTGTTCAATTGTTAATAGACCTTCTACATGCAATGTATTGTCATATTTTGAACGTTTATCTGTAACGTAGTTTTAAATAAGTTTTGCATTTATATTAGATTCAGGAAATTTTTCCATGAGAATTGAGCACATTTCAAATTGAATGATAGAAACAACTTCTTTATTTTAAAATTATAAGTCATGGTTCATGTATACTCATGTTCACATTCCCAATATACACAGATTTAACATCCACTCCCGCTCTTCCGTGTACAGTGGGGACGGATTCAAAATCTATGGCTTTTATTATGATGGCACTTTTCTTGAAAAAGTTATACATTTCTTGATTTCGCGTCAGATAGTGTAAAATTCTTTTTATATCACATATTTGACACATTGTTTCATTTAAATCATTCCAAGTGTCTACATTCATACAACAATGTTTCCTATTTTCATTTTTATGCATATTTTACTCTACCTTCAGGGGCATTATGAAATAAAGCAGGTTTTAGAGCGATATTAAAGATGCAGTATTGTATCTTACTAAGAAATACTATCTTTGATGATAATTAAGGTATCGATATATCCCTTAAATAATATCGATTGGTCGATATATCAAATTATATAGAATATAAGTCACATATCTTTTAATTCAAGAAAAAAAAAATAAAACAGACCTTTGAGAAAATTTTGTAATATCTGGTCTGACTCCAATATTAGAAATGAGTCTATAGCTTTAATAGTGTGGCTAGACGGACATTTTCAGTCCGTGTGATCTCCGGACTAATGATGCATTTTGCAAAATAAATCCGCATCTGCATGATCTTTGAAAATTTACATGTATTTAATAATTTTAAATCCATATAATAATGCATCGATACTCAAAAAGAAAAAAAATCGATATTGTATCATTTACAGTGTATATATCAATATCTATACTTATAAGGTATTGATGGCATTGAAAATATCTGCAATAAATGTTATATACTGTAGTTGTAGGAAAGTTTTGAAAATAAAATATATAGTTACATGTAGTTGCAGAAAATTAGGGGGGAAATTGGAGACATTTCGTCCTTGTTCTTTAAGTTGGAAGCGTATTATATAAGGCAGAGTGCTTGGCTGGATGACCGATTTTATTGAACGTATTATGAAAATATTTCCCACTCATTTCCGCCGAAATATGGCTTAAAGATTGCCGACTCGGCGTTAAACAATATGTAATCAATCAATCATACAAAAACCCAAAACACTATAGTTATAAAGAGACGTGTAATGCTGCTTCTTTTGCATAGTTATTTATATTTTATAGAATGATTTATTTTTATATCTCCGAACAGTGTAATTTTTATGCCCTTATAAAATTTGGACAAAGCTATTAAACATTTAAATCAAATAAAAATTGTAAATATGTGGTATGATAGGGGCATTTGATTCACAAACATCTGAAATAAACTCGCATATAAAGCGAAAAAACCTTGCTAATTAATAACTTTTCGAAAAATATATTTTGGTGTGTATTCTAATTTACAACTTGAAATGGTGGGACTTTCCGAAAAATATGTTTTGATGTTTATCTGGCAACATGATAAGTGATAATAAGGTGCGAGATTTGTCTGTAACAAAAAACATATTTTGTAATTTCACAAACAGCACATGTTTAAAGTTTGTAATAAAGTGAAGTTCCGCACAAGGACGAAAGGTAAATATCACATTTAACTAAATATGGTATATTTATGTAACTTTTTAGTGTAAGTTATATGAATATATACGAAGAAAGAAAATTTCGTACTTATATGCATTTTGGGGGGGGGGGCGTAGAATTTTCGTACTGTATTTAAAAAAATACATGTATACGTTATATGTTTGAACTTTTTTTCTATATGGAAATATTGTGAATGTTGCAGATTGACATCCCACAACCTAAAAAAATGTGTGACTTGTATTTAGTAAAGATGCAACGACTGTATTTTGTTAGAATATAGAAATTCCAAAATAAGGACACAAAGAGAGAGTCCATCTATGTTGTTTGATACCTGTTTTTCTTGCTATTATTATTATTTTTTTACGTTTTTCTTATCCTTGTTGAATCTCTTGGACTGAAATGTCACAACTACATAAGATGGATCTGATTTTCACTTTGTTGCCACAGATAGGGCCTCTTTTCAATACGTTGTTATATTTTTGCCTGCGTGCATTGCCCCCCCCCCCCCCCCAATCCTACAACGAATTATCGAGTTAAAAATTACGATTATTTGTTACTGTTATTAAACAGATGATTCTTCAATTACAACAATAAACTATTCCGTCGATTTTTTTTTTTTTTTTTTTTTTTTTGAATTCTATGAATTCTTATTTTATCAATATTGCATATTTACGATTTTCTTGAATATTGTTTGACCTCTATTCAATATGTTGTTTTGATCATTCGAATTGTTGTCTACTCACTATACGATAAACCACACTCACCCAACGGTCTTTCTTGCAATGTTGGAGGTTACACAAGTAATAAATATATTATCACTGCATTTCTGTTTTTGTTTTAGTTCGACTCGTACGAAACCAACCAAGGGCATACAAATTTCAATACAATGCTTATGAATCCTAACGCTTACCTGAGTGGTTCTTGAAAATACGAGGAATTTTTTAATAGGTCAAAATTTTCTTTTTAACAATTTTTAATTTAAAAGGTAGATTTCAATGACTTGAAATCGATCTAAAATTTTGCATGCAGGTAAAGCTTAGCAATTACACGTACCTAATTTGAAATTAATTACATTTTAAAAAACTTTTAGTTCAACATTGATCATTTACTTCTTCAATGGACAAAAGAAAATTTGGTAAGTGAACAATATTTTTAGAAATATCAAAACAATGTCACTCTTCAAATTCTTCAAGGGCATACCGTATACATGTAGATTCCTTGGAACATTTCTACCCATAGCTTGGACTTTCAGTTGTTACTGACCGTTCGGTGTGACGTAAATATAAGCATGTCACCGCCTACTGAAGGTCCTAAGTATCGATAGATTTGTAATATTTTACGCGAAATGACTCGTACATACCTAACCGCGAGAACTTTGCAAAATGAAAGGCGAAGATATTACAGTGACAGGTATGAAATCCACCCAAGGCATCTGTCTCAGCAGTATGTAAAGAAGGAAAACACATTTTAATAAACACTTTTAGGTGATAATCATTTAATTCATTCCATATATAAAGAAATGGAATTTTTACGACATGAAAAGCTGTTTCATTTGACGCTCACAAATTCTTCATACATTTTCAGACAATGTTAATTGTGAAATTGGAAGACAATGCGAATATAATGAGATGTTTTGATACGTGACTTAAATTCGATACTTTCAGGTGATAAATATGTTCGCATTTCATTTTTAGCTCCCCTGAGCCGAAGGCTCAAGTGAGCTTTTCTGGTCACTTTTTGTCCGGCGTCCGTCTGTCTGTCTGTCCGTCTGTCTGTAAACTTTTAAAATTTTCGACTTCTTCTCAAGAACCACTGGGCCAATTTCAACCAAACTTGCCACAAAGTATCCTTAGGTGAAGGGGATTCAAATTTTTTCAAATGAAGGGCCACGCCCTCTTTCAAGGGGAGATAATAAAGAATTAGTGAAAAATTAATAGCATCTTTTAAAAATCTTCTTCTCAAGAACCACAGGGCCAGGAAAGATGAAACTCATATGGAAGCATCCTCAGGTAGTGTAGATTCAAGTTTGTTCAAATCATGACCCCGGGGGTAGGGTGGGGCCACAATGGAGGATCAAAGTTTTACATAGAAATACAAAGGAAAAATCTTTGAAAATCTTCTTCTCAAGAACAGCAAAGCCATGATGAGTCATATTTATTTGGAAGCATCCTCAGGTAGGGTAGTGTAGATTCAAGTTTATTGAAATCATGACCCCTGGGGGTAGGACGGGACGACAATGGAGGATCAAAGTTTCACATAGAAATATATAGGAAAAATCTTTAAAAATCTTCTAATCAAGAAGAGCAAAGCCATGTGTCATATTTATATGGAAGCATCCTCAGGTAGTGTAGATTCAAGTTTGTTCAAATCATGACCCCCGGGGGTAGGATGGGGCCACAATGGAGGATCAAAGTTTTACTTAGAAATATATAGGAAAAATCTTTAAAAATCTTCTTCTCAAGAACAGCAAAGCCATGATGAGTCATATTTATATGGAAGCATCCTCAGGTAGTGTAGATTCAAATTTGCTCATCTCATGACCCCTGGGGGTAGGGCGGGGCCACAATGGAGGATCAAAGTTTTACATAGAAATATATAGGAAAAATTTTAAAAATCTTCTTCCCAGGAACAGCAAAGCCCTCATTGATAATATTTATGTGGAAGCATCCTCAGGTAGTGTAGATTCTTTTTTTGTTCAAATCATGACCCCCGGGGGTAGGGTGGGGCCACAAATGAGGATCAAAGTGTAAGATAGAAATATATAGGAAAATTTCTTCTTCTGAAGAACTGCAAAGCCATGATTAGTCATTTTGATTTGGAAGCATCCTCAGGTAGTGTAGATTCAAGTTTGTTAAAATGATGACCCCCGGGGAAAGGGGCGAGCCACAATGGGGGATCGAAAGTTTTACATAAGAATATATAGAAAAAATATTTCTTCTCAAGAACAGAAAAGGTGTGTTTGGTAATATTGATATGGAAGCATCCTCAGGTAGTGTAGATTCAAGTTTGCTCAAATGATGACCCCTGGGATTGGGAGGAGCCACAATAGGGGATCAAATTTTTACAAAAGAATATATGGGAAAAATTGTTTAAAATCTTCTCAAGTACAACAAAGCCATTTGTTATATTGACATGGAAGCATCATCAGGTAGTTTAAAATTCAAGCCCCCCCCCCCCCCTCGTAATTTTTTCAATACTGAACTGATTTGTGTTTTTGTCTAGCCAATGTGCTCAGGTGAGCGATGTGGCCCATGGGCCTCTTGTCCTGATTTAGTGATGAAATTTTTATGATATTAAAAGTTCTGAACTATTTCATTGATGTTAACAAATTTTTGATGTGTTTTCAATGTTAATTGTGGGATTGAAGACGACAAGAAAATGATTTAATACTCAGATTCAATGCTATAATAAAGTAATTTGCACGTAAGTTACAATAATAGGTCTATAGTTTTGGATTTAATATCGGTGAGCTTAGCTACAAGCGTCTGGTTAAAATCATGCCCTTTCTATTTCTAATCGACGACTTGAAGGAAAAGTAATATTACCCTTTGAAAAAAAATTCATACGTACCAAGCCCGACTGCATTTTATACATCTAGCTTCTACAACAGTTGTAAAATTTCTAATAAAGAAGGATCTATGAAAAAAATTACACTTATTTTGGCGTCAGTAGGTTAATTGGAATGGATTATATTTTAAGGTCGCACCTCCTTTTAAGAGACGTTTCTCAATAATATATATATTTCCCAAGAATTTGTGTTTGACATATTTTTCCTCACAAAAAAACTGAGATGCATTACCAGGCATTTGTGCTAGATTCCAGAGGATGCGATTTCCTATATAGTCCTAGTGGATATAACTTGAATTTCAGCTATCACAATTTTGGTGTTTATATCTTTAAAGTTTAAAGACATTTTGAAAATAGTTTAAAAATCACTAGATAATAAGAACTATAAATGTATTTGGTACGTTACAAAAGCAGTTTTTCGAGGAAGGTCTCGTCATACCTTAAACAAAATACATATGGTTTGATCAGTATTTTTTTAAATTAGTAATTGTATTATATATTTATTAAAATCTATATAAAAGTAGGAAAATCTATGCACAAAGTTACAAAATAATCTATTTTTTTATGTCAACAGTTCATTTAACAAATCAATTACTTACCGGGGGTACAAGAAAATCAACAAATCATACATATTCCTTCTCTATTTACATTATACATATGCAGATGTGGTATAATCTTGATTTTAAAGACTCTGACGTCTTCTTTTCATTGCTTTATTTTCACAGTCCTCATTAACTGGGCTTACTTTATTTTTTTCAAACAAAGCCATGAGTTTGTTGCGCTTTTCTACAGCACACTGAACAGCGTTAATTAATTTTTCTTCTCCTGTCTTTTCTGCGGTGACAATAACCTCCACGTCATTCTGAGTTTCTTTTGATTCTTCCTTCACACTCCCTTCCTTCTGCCTACTTTTAACTTCCGGTTTTTCTACTTCCGCCAATTCTTTAGGAACTTCCTTCGCCAAGTCTATGTCCTCATCACGTCGTATATATTGAATTTGATACTCGCGTGCATGGTAGAACTGTAAACCATAAAAAGAATGGAAATTTCGGGCTATCAGTGGCACAGGCATTCCCATCAAAATGATTCCAGTCAATGCACAGATGGATGCTAGGACATATCCTAGAGCAGAATTTGGATAAAAATCGCCGTATCCTACCGTTGTCATGGTGATCAAGGACCACCACATTCCAATGTAAATGTTATTGTAATAACTTGTTGCTTCAAAAAACTCTGTACAAAAGATAAATGTTGCAAAAAATGTGGTCGCCATTATCATGAAAATAAAAAGCAAAAACAATTCTCGTTTGCTTGCTTTCACTGCAAGCCACAAGGTTTTCAGGCCATGGTAATGTGCTGTAAATCGAAACAACCGTAGAACTCGGAGAGTCATCAAGGTCTGAAGTAAAAGAAACCATCCGATTCTGTTCACATTGTGCCAGTGTGTTCGATCCAAGAAGTCGATTGCAAACATACACGTCGCTGGAATAAGATAGAGGATGTCGCATATCGTCGTGAAGGATTTGAGCATGCGCCACCGCCGTCTACCAAAAAGAAATCGGAAAATTATCTCTGTCGTAAAAAATATTAGACAGAATAAGTCGAAAAATAGTAAAGCACTGTGGGGTTGAGTAGTCAAAAAAGATAACACCCTGTTGTTGTGTGTGGGTAAAGTATCACAATGGTCGATACAGGGTTCTGAAAAATTCGTAAAGCGTGGTGGAACAAGGACATAGTAGCTGTTTTCTGCAATGTGTTTGGGTACGTATCTTTGGAAAAATGTGTTTTTTGGTTCCACTCTGCACGAGGCAAGGGTACTTGTAAACATGCAGATGATGGACAGGATGACAAGTGTCATATACAAAATCGACCATACCTGAAAAAAAAAATCATGAAAATAATATTCAGTACATGTATATTTGTCTCATTTGGTTATGATTATAAGGGAAAATTTACAATAGAAAATACTATACTCAGGAAAATGCCCCCCCCCCCCCCCCGCGTTCTACGGGCCTGTATTAATTAAGAATGTGCTTTTACTACTACATGTATATGTCGTAAAGCGAATGGCAACTACATGTACTTTGGTTTCTGACTCAATGATCGTGATCTTTGACCTTTATTTAACGAGGCCGAGTCTAATTCGAGTGCGCATGACTGCGCAGCTTTTTTAATTCATGCATTATTTTAATTTCATGCAATCTTAGGTACGACATTACACCTTTCCTAGTTTTTTGTGATTTTAATACCGTCTATGGGTTGAAAATGTGCTTTCAAGACAATAATTATAGGAACTAGTATTAATTGTAACGGGGACCGTTACAGATGTTCCCCAAACGCTCCCCAACTCCCTTTTGGTGTCTTATTTCCTGTAAGCTTCATTAAATAAGGCAATCAAGTATATTGGTCATTTAACGCATTTCACGCGCGCGCACGTGCATGCATGTGCAGGTTGACCATGTCATTCCGTCTATACTATAAATGCATCTTTATATTCTTAGTATGAAAACATTTCATCAAAAAATATATAAGTTCCGGCTATATCAAGTATATTGGTCATCTTAGCATTGCGCGCACGCGCACCTGTATGCATGTTCATAATGACCATGCCATTTTGTCTACACTTATAATATGTCTGTTTATTCTTAGTATCAAAGCTTTTCATCAAAAAATATAAAAGTTACGGCTATATTAAGTATATTGGTCATTAAACACATTGCACGCGCGCGCATGTGCATGCATGTGCATGATGGCCACATCATCTTGTCTACACTTTTAATATATCTGTATATTCTTAATATCAAAGCTTTTCATCAAAAAATATAAAAATTACGGCTATATTAAGTAAATTGGTCATTTAACACATTGCACGCGCGCGCACGTGCATGCATATGCATGCATGTGCATGATGATCATGTCGTCTTGTCTACACTTTTAATACATATGAATTTTTGAGTATCAAAGCATTCCATCAAAAAATTTCAAAGTTACGACTATATCAAGTAAATTGGTCATTTTACGCTTTGCGCGTGCGCGCACGTGCATGCATGTGCATGTTGACCATGTCATCTTGTTCACACTTTTAATATATCCTTATATTCTGAGTATCAAAGCATTTCATCAAAAAATATAAAAGTTACAGCTATATCAAGTATATTGGTCATTTTACGCATTGCACGCGCACGCACGTGCATGCACGTGCGCGCAAAATGACCTTCGTTCCGCAAATCTACATTACATGCCTAGTAACCCTAAAAAGGTTTCACCTCAATCGGATGTGTGGTTTCGGAGATCACTCACGGACGAAAAAGTACCCAGGAAGAAAAATAATAATAACTAGAAACTCATTGCGAGCAATGAGAGGTCTTCCGTCCGATTCGGAAGAAAAAAAAGAAAATTCAAGCTGAAAAAGTGATAAAAGAAATTCAGACACTCTGGAGATTTAACCCTGCTCGTCAGCGTGAAAATCCAACGTGCTAACCATTAACCATTCACTTTTATGCATCACTTCCTGTCACGACCGGAAGTAACGGCGATACAAGATTTTCTCACGATTCAAATAAACTGATAACTGACTATCAGTCCTGAAAGTTTTAGTCTTCAGTCGTTTATTGTTACCAAGCAATATTGTGAGAACAAATTCTAATTTTGAGGACAGGTAAACACGCGACCGGAAGTGAATTTTATATAAATCTATGACTTTTCTGTAGACATTTGCAGTATCTACAACATACAAAAATCATCTCGAGTACTTTATCCATAAGCAATATTTACGAGAAAGTTAAATATAAAAATAAAGTAGTTTATCTCCTAAAACCGGAAGTTAATGTTTTTGTTTCCGGTGGAATCTAACATATTTCGAAATAGCAAAAGGGATGCAATAAAGTGATGGAAGTTTTAATTTAGAAAAGAGAAGTTAAACTTTTTGATTTCTTTGATCATTTCTTGTGACAAGTGGAAGTGACGACTGACGCGTTTAACCCAAATGATTTTGCCTACTCCTCAAGGCCCATTACTCTTACAAGTTTGGTGTTTTAATCTTTTACCTGTTTTTGAGATCTCGCTCAGAAAACTTCTCAAGTTGAGGACAGGAAAACACGCGACCGGAAGTGAATTTTTGAAAGATATTTAGGGATACTCTAGACATTTGCTATCTGTATAACATATTTATAATTTATTTCAAATACTTTATCTACAAAAGATATTAATGGGAAAGAAAAATACTCAATTTATGTAGTTTTTCTCTTATAACCGGAAGTTGTCATATTTGTTTCTGGTAGGACCAACATCTTTCGAATCTGCGAAAAAGATGCAATAAAATGATGCAATTTTTAATTAAATAAAGAAAAGTTGAAATTTTTGATTTCTTTTATCAATTCCTGTGAAGACTGGAAGTGACGGCTGACGCTCTGAACCCAAATGGTTTTGCCTACATCTTAAGGACTGTTGCTCATATAAGTTAGGTGTCTTAATCTCTTACCGTTTTCGAGTTCTTACTCAGACTTCTCGTATAGAATTTTTCAAGAACTCTTGAGTAGTTTTAATTGTAATAAACAGGCTATATCCTGGATTGTTTAACCTACCAAGCCAACCTTCTTTTTTTTAGATTTTGCCAAATCAGTGTTTTTGCAATTCTCAATGCATTTCCTGTGTAAAATGTTGATAAAAGGGACCTACATAATTTTTCACCATAATATTTCTCCAAAACTCACTTATTTCATATGGTTTTTTATTTCAATTTTTATTCGTAGTTATAAATGCTGCTTCCTTTATAGAACCTAGAAACTGATCTCAGTCGGTCTGCCTTTCAGCATATGTCACATCTTTGCCTTTCCCAGCACACTGAGCATAACTATGGTAAATGACGACCTGTTGGCTCTTTGTCTCCTGAATACAATGTACAACAAAGCCATTACTACTTTTCTTTCTTGCTGTATAGATGATTCCATCCATTGAAGGAAGTACGCATGCTTTTTGTTTACCTCTGTAAACATATGCTTTATTGGTTTTCACCGCTTAGAGAATTCTACACGGGAGATCACTCTCAATCACTATTTCATAAGTAAAAAATCCCATGTATTTAACCTTCTTTTTTTTTTCAGGAAAACTTTGACTTGCCAATGTCCGTAAAATATAACATGGGTCCTTCAAAAATGCAAGGATTTTTAAGGATTTATTAAAACAAATGCAAATAGCACAGGATTCACACAGAAAAAAAAACATCATTTATAAAGATGAAAACGTAAATTAAAGGTAAAAATGAGAAAGAAAATTCAGACATAATCGGGATTAAACCCGAAAAAATAGAACACCGTTGACGTTGGAGGTTAGTGTACGAGGTAGCAGCCACCCGAGGAGCTCCGAGTACCGACCTGCTCGTCGGAGTTTACGGAGACAGCCGCCATTTTGGACCCGCTTCAAATTTTAAAATGCGAATATCTAGAGTTTGGATTTATCAATTTTTAAACAAATTATATATTAAGCCTTTTTGGAAATGCCTCTATTAACCCTACTAATATCAAAGAAAAAAATGAAAAACAAAAAAGTTAGAAAATTCAACTTTTTAAATTCGCATCCGGTAACGACTGGAAGTACCGACGACGAACGAAAGGTCATGTCCCGGCTAGGATTTATCACGATCTATAATCCCTGAAAGTTTCACATTGATATCTTTTACCGTTCTTGAGATTAGTTGCGGACAAAATGTCTTTTTAAATTCAGAAAATGGTCGGTAACTTGGCACCGGAAGTGATTTTCCAGAAAATCTCTCGGATAAAATAACTTCAGATTAAAACACATTGTTCCTGCAAATTTCATTAAATTTCATCCAGTAGTCTTTGAGAAATCGCGTGCACAAAATTAGATGGGCGGAAAAATAATAATAATAATAATAATAAGAAACAGTAGAATCACTATAAGGTCTTCCGTGAAGACGGAAGACCTTAACTAGATACTTATTGCCAAGGCAACAACAGGTCTTCCGTTTTCTTGACTTCTTTGAAAAAAAAAAACAATCTTCTCAATACGATTACTCTAAATAATTAACAAAAGTTATCACAAGGCTTCCAAAGATATGTAAATACAGATAAAAACAAACGGAATTACTTTTCTGTTTTCTTTATGTACTTCGTCATGAACGAAAGTGCTCCAAACGAATAAAATGTTCATTCTACACCTAAATTATTCACAACTGATCATCCCAAAAGTTTCCATGAAAAACTACTCATGTTTGAGACAACTTCTTGTTTTTCGGTTGGCACTTCAGATGAAAATAATTTGCATGGTCATGATCTATCTAACATCTGCATTAGCCAAACATTTCTGTAAAAAGAAAAAAACTTTAAAAATTCACTTTTTTTGCATCGCTTCCTTCATGACCGGAAATGACGGCAACGTACGATTTTTACATGATGTAGATAAACTGGTGACTGACTATCAGTTCTGAAAGTTTTATACTTCAGTTATGTACTGTTTTTGAGCAATTAGGTGAACAAAATCTCAATTTGAGGACAGAAAAACACGTGACCGGAAGTGCATTTTGCTAAGATGGTTGACTTCACACTAGACAATTGCAGTCTCAATAACATATGTAAAAATCATTTCAAAAAACTTTATCAATAAGTGATATTATTGGGAAAGTTAAAAATACCAATTACATAGTTTCTCTCTTATAACCGGAAGTTGTCGTTTTTTTCGAGTGAGACCAACACATATAGAAACTGAGAAAGAGACTCAATTATATAATGAAAGTTTTATTTCAAAAGAGAAAAGTTTAAATTTTTGATTTCTTTGATCACTTCCTGTAACAACCGGAAGTGACGGCTGACGCTATTAACCCAAAGGGTTTTGCCTACTCATTAAGTTCTATTACTCATA